GTATAAGATTTCATGCTGAGATAAAGAAGTGCTATTATTTTGTATATGAAAATCTTAATTAAAGTATCCAAGTCTTACGATACGATATGGTCACTGTATGAACCTCACGGTACGATATGTATTGCGATATCGTGGGAAAGCTCACAATATGGTGGCGAGACTCATGATTAGGGATGTAACAATATCCAAATCTCTAACGATACTTCTCACAATACGATGTTTATTGCAATATTTTGTGGAGGCTAACAAAAGTGTAAATATGCTCCTTTTTCCTCTTAAAATGCCTTGACAAGACTTAATACATAGAACTAAGACTTAAAAGTGCTTAGAACTGTTATTTCTTTATATAGTCTACACTGAAATGGAGCAAAGGATCATGGTCTGTGTAGTCTTCTCTGTTTTTTTTTAGGTATTGCTGCACCATAACTTTAAATTTAAGCAAAGAGATTTGTAATTTGATATATACTGTGATGGTTCACGATATTATTGTGAGAGCTTTGACGATACGATATCATGATATTTTGGTTATTGTTACATCCCTACTAGGAGCCATGTATTTTATTCAATCACAGTCTTGACCAGATATTATCCTATACTGCTACCATGCATGTCTTTGGGTTACATGGAGATTTCTATGGTTGGTCAAGTAGTTATCATCATGACATGCATTAATGACATTTAGCGTGAAAAAAAAATCAACTTTCTTGAGTGTCAGCTTAGACTGTTTGCTCCTATCAAATCATTTAAAATGGGATAAATTCACCTTAGTTAGGATTAAGTTTATGCATGTCAGAAATAATGAACAAGACTCTTGTTGTTTTGTATCTCACTGTATTTACTCTCAAATGCATGACATCGCCATTCACCTGTCCACACACACACAGTCCCAGACATGGTCACATTGTCTCTTCACAGTTTAGCTTCAGTTTTCTGTCCACCACATTCAATGTTACAGCTCTCTATCTTAAACACACAGCACAACACTTCTGCAAGGCAACGCCACGGAGTACATGGGAGCACACACTAGAACAACACTTTCAAATGGGAAACCACTCAGGACATAACTCAATATTAAGGAACAAAAAACAAAAACAAAAACGAATTACTATGAGCTAAAGCAGAGAAAATACGGCTCTCTCTTTGCGTTCTTGTATATGTCATTAAGTTATAGAAGTACAGTTTTTGACCTATTCTGTACTGATACTTTGCAGCTGAGGTCATCAACTTTCCCTGGGTGTGTGACGCTAACTGGAGGCACTGCTCTGTCTGAAGCTCTGTTACTTAGTTTAGACGTAATCTGAGCTTTATTAGCATTAGCCAACAGTTTTTCATTTACTCGCTCTCTCCAGGAGTGTGAATAATTGTGTCAGTAACATTCTTCTGAAAATGTGTTGTTTAAATCCATGTTTTATTTTGCTGTCAATCTTGAAACTTTCTTGACACTGTTTGCTTTAGTTTGTTTTATGCAAAATTCATTAATTCATTATACTCAGAATGTGTTCTTGCTGATAATGTAGGGTACATCACTTGCTAACTGAGAACCATAGATGCAGAAACAGCAGGAACCTCCAGGTAACGGTTGTGTACATTTAGAAATCGCAGTAGACCCATACTGAGTTACTCTTACTGAGTGGTATCCCATTTAAAGACAGTTTACAGTATAAGGCTCAGACTTTGGCAAAACAAACTTTTCAGTGTCATTCAAACAAAGAAAATGACCTAATGCAACAGGAAAACATCATCATAAATAAGTGTATTAAAGAAAGAAAAAAAGAAAAAAAAAGAATAATAATGCAATGTTTCTCAGACGAAAAAAAATACCAAAACCAAATATATTGCTAATAGTCTCTCAGTACAATGTTATGAAGCGTTATGTAAATGTGTAAAAGGGCGAGATTTGAAAGTGCTGAACTCAACGTCTTTAAATATCAGATTGAACAGACGTTACAGATGATGTATGGAGGGAGTTTTGTGGCACTGCTGGCTGGCATGTGAGATCGATGAGCCCCAATAAAGGCCTGATTTGAGGCTGTGGTTGCAGATTTTTCAGCACAAGTTGTACAAGTGCTGTCCTTCAACTGTGAGAATATTGGCTAACACTTCAGATCACAGACGATCATTTTTATTGTGGTAATGTGGAGGTAAATAGAAATAACTGTCCTGCACTTCATGTCTGTAATCTATGTGTGAGTAACACATTTGAACAATCATAATAATTGCATGTTGAAGTTTTATATTGTGATGTAAGTTTTGCTATCAGGCAACATGAGCGAGATGTGCATATTTGTACATGGCTGCATATGTAATTAATTTTTTTATTTTTTTCTAAATATTAGAAGCTAAAACAAAAGACCTTATGTTAGTACTTATTTCTCTAACTGGATAATCTATGGTCTGCACAATATTAAGTCGTTTTTATCTTTGTAACAATTTGACATTGAATGATCAATTATGACTATATATTATATCAGCCCAAATTACACAGCATAAAGTGAAGCATTTTAAACTAATCAACTTATAAACAACAACTTATAAAGAACTCATTTCCATGTAGAGCAATGCTTTAATTAATTAGTCTAAATGTTGTACAGTATTGCATTTCTCCCTGTCAGAAAAGTGGATGTGATTAATATAATTAGTAAGTAAATAATAATCAGCTATAGAATAAAATGTTATATTGGTTAGTATGTTTTTAGACTTGCTCTTTGCCAAGAGTATATAGCTGGAGGATTCATTTCAGGATGATGATTACATGAGACTCAAAACTGGGACCTTTTTGATGTGAGGTGAAAAAGCCACGTGCCTCTTTAAATCTATAGGAGTGAACCATGATGTTGAAATTAATGTTTTCAAAACATATTCAAATGGACCATTCTCACTCAGACTAATACAATGTGCCACAGTTTCCTTTTTAGAAAAGTGATTTTATAAAGACATTGAATCCGTCGTGTGGAAATAAGAGCTAGTACAGGTAACATTCCACTGTTTATTACTGGCCTACAGTGATAAGACTTTTTCCCTCATTTTGTTCTTTTTTAATAAAACTCTTTCATTAAAAATGTTTCTTTAGCATATTTTCTTAGAAAATATATAAAAGAGAAATTTACATATATTTTACAGATGAATATCCTCTGACTTTGTTAAACAGAACAAGTCATTTCAGCTTATGCCGCACATGATGTTACAGGAGATGCTTCGAACAACAAACTAAAGTAGAGTAGCAAATGAGAGAAGTTCACAGACTTCATACAAAGGAAATACATGCATACATACATTACAGTGCCATGCAAACAGTCCGATTTGGGGAAGTCAATCTTTTTAAGTCTGACTCTGCATTACGCTCCAGTTTCATTTCATCAACATGTCATGCCTTCTAACTATACAAAGGGAACATGGCCTCTACTTCAGTGACAGCCACAGTGGGTGCTACAGGAGATAGCGTTCCAAACATTTCTAAGTAGGGCAATGTGCAGTTGATCACCAAACACTCAACACTTGTGAATGCTCTTCACAAAAGAGGACATGAGTGATACTGTGTCAGTATAAGGACTATTCTCCAGGTAGATCATCAGGTTTGTTTCCTCTGACAAGCCCAGATCTTTATCTGATCTTGGCAGTGGTATTATTTTGGATAAATATTGCTTGAATAAAAATACACATGTTTTAGACACTTTTTAAGATTGGAGTTTTAGACCATTATTCATGGCATTGTTTGGATTTTTGTCTTGGAAATGTAATACAAATGTTACAGGCTGTTTGCTTGCCTGTGTTTATGAGGGTCATTTAATTCACAACTGCGTTGAGAGAGCTCTGCTCTGTAGTTACTCTACTTTACTTTTATATTTGCTACATTCAGCACAGTGTTTGTGTATTCCAACAATCTACGGAAGCAAAGGCTCTATCAAGTGAGTCCAAAGAACTGCACTTCTCCACAATAGAAACCATTATTTAAGTGAAACATGCTCTACATCGGTTCTTCTTAGTATTTGGCACATGGTGTAAATGGCAAAAGATTAAGCTAAGAGAGATGGGACCATAAAGTCTCTAACTTCATATTTAGTCTTCTCCAAGAGTTGAATAAACTCTGCTTTAACCAGTCAGCAAAACCATCCAATTAGATCAAACCATTAATAACTTATAAAGCTGTTATATTTTTCATTTAGACTCAGTACATCCCTTTAGGACCTGCCTCAGTGCTATGACATTCATCCTCTCATACCCTCTTACACATAACCCCACTCCAGTATTCAGGCCTCACAGACTCTTTTGGTTTGACTGTTGTGGTGCAAAGTCACTGCTGCAGACTGATCTGACGTGGACCGCCCACTGCAGTCCTGCCCCCCACACATGCTCTCCCTGCTTACATAAACTAACAGCTAATTTCACACGATGCAATGTGCAATAATTCTTCAAAATGGACACAGTGTATGCCATCTGCCCGGTCTGGTGGATCAGACATGTTGGATGTTTAAGAAAAGAGCATGCGGTGTGCTTTCAGTCCAGAGTAGCCTATTTTCTCTTTCCTCAGGTTTTGGTTTCTTTCCGTTTTATTTCAAAGGTTGCCCTAAAGTGTGAGATGTGTCCTCTGCACAGTTTGACACAAGCTAAACATTTCCATCAGTGGACATCCTTGGCTTCAGTGACTGCTATATTCCTTACTCTACATATCTTTGTATGCTTCAGGTTGAATAATTGATCATGGGCAGAAGTTGACTGATTCATTTGCTTTGTTTAATCAAGAGCTGGGGAATATACCAGCTGCTCACAAAGAGCTTAGAGACTATGAGCATGTTTGTGCAAATGAGATACACTGTCCAGGGAGAAGCACTGGGACTGACCGTTAGGACTAGCTCTACTCTGGCCAGCGGAGCTGCTACTGTTTGGGAGAGAAGGTGCCTTCTACTGGACACCTCCAACCCCCCGCTCAGAGACTCTTGTCTCCGGAGAGCACGTCTTTCACATCAACACATGAATACCTACAGATACTCACTGCTGACTACTCAGACATTAGTCACATGATCAGGATTGTCCCTGATTTCTATGCACTCAATCTCCTCCCTCTCTCTCTCCCTCTCCCTCTCCCGCTCCCTCTCTCTCTCCCGCTCTTTCCTCTTCGCCCGTTTCTTCTTCTTGTGTCTCTTTTTGGAAGGCGGGAAGAAGGTGAGGAAGACGGGGAGGATGACGAAGCAGTGCAGCAGTGTGCAGCCTGCGGTCAGCAGGGAGCACTTGAACAGTGTGTAGGTCAGGTTGGAAGGCACAAACACTAAGGGCATTATCCCAATCACAAAGCAGGAAGTGTTCTGCAAGATGGCTGCCCCGTGCTCCTCCAGAGCCAGCTTGATGCACTGCGTCCTGGTGTGCTCTGTAGCTAGTACAAAAGTGTACAGATGTGGTGCACAGTGATCCATGGCAAAGTTGAGGGTATAAATAAGGCACAGGATTGAGATGCTGTCCATGCCAACATTCCAGAGAGTCATCAAACCCAACACACCCAACTCCACAGAAGTGACCGTGAGGATGAGCCAGAAGTTCCCCAGCGGGTTGATGACCAGGAAGAAGGTGAGGATGAGGATGGTGAGTACGCTGAAGCCTGAGGTCAGAATGGGCGAGATGACTGAGGAGCTGTAACGGTCCATGAAGACAAAAGTGGGATTGAAGGCAATGAACTTGATGCTGTTAATCAACATCAGTGGTCGAAGTTTCTCCAGAAGCTCCACCACCTCCTCACGCTTCTTCTCGGTGGTGCGTGCCACTAAGTACATGCGTGAGGCGATGATGTCATACTCATCTGTCTCGCGGTTTTTGGAGAAGATGATGTCCTCAGTGAAGTGCTGGTACTCCGGGCTGCGCAGGAACGAGCCCTTGAGGATACTGATAAAGTCACTTTTGGTGGACGCACTCACGTTCACCACCCGTAAGTAATGGAAAAAGTTGTCCATCCAAGAAATTTTATTGAATCCATGACTCAGAGTCTTGAGATGCTCTTGCACAGTAGAGTTCCAGTATTCAATTGGTTCATAAATGTAAAATCCAATTACAGGACTGTAGTTACTGAAATACTTCTGCTGGGTCAATGCATATGAAACGCTTGGAGAGTTACTAGCAAGCAAGTTTACAATGTTGGATCCATCACTAATTTGTAAACATCCCATAAATGAAAAAGAGGCATAGATGAGATACAGAATCACTACGAATGGTTTGACATAAGTGTTAGTAATCCATTCAGTGTAGTGTTCGCGGAGGAAGTGCTGGATAAAGTGGTTCTGGTAGGGCAAACTGTCATGGTGTGTGGACAAGTCATGCCCATCACTCATCATAGTTTTAAACCAGGTGGGCTGGCGGTCCAGATACTCCACTGATGGGATCTTACAGCAGAATACACTGTGGTACCTGTTCTGCTCCAACTGTCCAGCGAAAACCAGGCAAGATCCGTAAAAAGAGAAAACGTAAAAGTAGTTGACCAGGATTGCCACGCACATGCTCTGGCAAAAGATCTTGACAGATTCGATGTTGGTGAAGGGGCTGGCTCCCATGCCAAAGGTGATGATGTAGAGAGAGCTGGTCATAGTGTAGCACACCATCACGTCTGCAAACGCATCTGCCACACGCTCTTTGAAGGGCAGGTTCTCCCTCGTCCTCCTCCAGCCCGCAAGCAGCTCAAACACACCTTTGGTTCCATGGCCTGAAAGACAGAGGACAAGATAATGTGAGGTTCACTGTTCAGTGTTTACTTTGATTAAGCACCGGAAATGCACTGATTTTATTTTGGTAATGGTCACATTTTCATATGATGCTTTTTTCTACCTTCAAGGCTTTCAAAGACCTTTACATCAAGGAACCCAATGGCGTAGGTTTGCACAGGGATGGTGGGGATATGTCACAACAAATACTTGGGAAAGACAAAATAGTCCCTATCAGTATTTGCCATTTTATTTTAATAAACAAAAATATAAATGTATATATATGTATAAATGTGATATTTTTCCAAACTCAATAGTCAATTTGACACGTTTTAGTTCATATTTTGTTTATTAGACGTTCTGAGATGTATTCAGTGATATGACGACAGGGTTACCCCTGCCGCTGTTTCATTGGCTGCAGCAGAGTGATGTCATTAGTGGAGCCTAAACTGGGGAAGCGGCAGGACAGGGCCAGCACCCGAAGATGGCGGCTTGAGCAGGCGTGAGTGAAGATGCGGAGCACCAAACTTTGAAAAAATTTCTAAAGGAACTTACTTGGCTTCATCTTCAGTTAAACTTGTCTTATAATGAATGAGTCACCACGGAAAAAGAGACTATCGCCACAAGTGCACCTCCCAAACAGAGCCCTAGTCATGCGCTGTTCGCAGCCAAACTCTATTAACAATATTCCATGAAAAAAATGTCTGGGCATTCCCTCACAAATATCTCATCACCAAAAGCAAAGGAGAATGTGCTACAAACTTCTACATCACTGTTATCCGCTAAAGAATCATCTTAGAAGGGCAATGGACACAAACTGTACATTTTGCAAACTGAAAAATTAAACCACCTCTCACTTATTTTGGACCTGCCCAGACTCTGTGTGTTCAATTCATAAAACATATGGGGGGGAGGGTTAACTGATAATGTTTTTTATATATGCCAGTGTACACAGACTTTTGAGGTGAGGTGGGTGCAATGTGTCTTGCCCAAGGACACAATGACAATATTCATTTTTGGGATCTGGAATTGATCACTCTACCAATGATGATATTTTGTATGTAGCCTATATGGATAGTAGTGTTGGTAGAAGTAGAACCAAGTGAAATGATGATATCTCTTATGACCTGAAAAAATAAAAATAAAAATAATTGACATTGCATTGATTTTTTTCTTCTTCTTCTTTTTTTTTTTTTTTTTTTTGCTATGATACTGCAATTGTTATAGAACATTGTGTGTTTTGCTTGATATCATACAGAAGTTTTAGTACCGTGACAACATTACCTGTGACAAACTGTTGAAAATATGTTGTATTATGTTGTAATGTTTCCTGCTTACTTCACCATTTGGTCAGTTTACAATATGTCTGGAGAAATAAGAAGTAGATAGCCTTAACTACTTCATATATTATGATAGGAATTAAATTGTAATGTAGTCTCTAAAGTTTGCGTTCTAGCTGTGAAGATAATTGTCATAGTTTTGGTGTATCGCCCACCTCTTCTCATTAAGGCTGTGGAGCTGTAGCATGTTACAGTCCCTTCCATACTGGTTCCAGCAGGAGGGACATTATGTTTGGCTATATTCAGTTTCATCGCTGAATGCAGTGCAGCTCTGTGATCATTTAAACATGACAGAGTGATTAGGCTGTGGTAGCGTCGCCTCTCGTCTAATTGAGTTAAGTCTTGTGATGTCTTCCTCAGTGCGGTAAACAGCAGCCTCATTCATATATCCCCCCAGATTTTCACTAGAGCAAAGATTCAGAACAGAACTGAATAAAGAGTGTTCAAAAACATTGGCTCTATAGTGCAACTTCTCCCACACAAGAATATCCAGCCACCCACTCGCTGTGCGTTTGTGAAATACCAGCACAGATCTGCTTATCACTGCATGGGAATTAGCTGCTTGGTCAGATTTTGTTTTTGTAATGATTTTGTTGTTACATGTTAATACACATCTCACTCTTTTTCAGGTATTGTGTGTGACATACATTCGTTATTTTACATTTTGTGCATTGCAAACTGTAATATTGCTCAAAAATGGTTTAAAAGGATCTATTGATTTCCTGTTCAGAGAAGCGATCTTCGGGGTTGGATTTCACAGTTGCAAGCAGCAGATTTTCAATTCTGTGTTATAAAATTTGACATTTTTTCATTTTACATGCATGACCTGGAGTCTGATTTTTAAAAAAAAAAAAAAATCACAAATAAGTACAGAGCTGTGGATGGAGAAGAACTGAAATGGCTAAAAAAAACTCACATGTTGGATGACACAGGATTACTCAATATGCACAAATCACAACTCAAAAATCAAAACACAACTTTGAGTAAGATGAAAACCAAACCCATACATTCTGGCTTTGATTGGTTACAGGTCACAGGCCATTTCGGGAGTTTGAAAAAGTATTTTTGTTCTGCAGACTGCAACTGAAGGGTGAAATATATACTAGTAATTGCATAAGGTAAAGCTATGAAACCATTTTTCTCTGGATTTTTATACAGATCAATATCAGTCTGAACCCCACACACTCCGAGTCTCTAGTCCAGTCAAACGTGATCGTGCAGTCAGATTTGTCTTTTTTCAGTGACACATGTGAAACGAAGGAGCTCATTGGTCTCCTATACTTTCAAATAAAATCAACTGAATCTCACTGCGGATTAACGGTTTAGTGCTTTGCTAAATGATTCTGAAAAAATCTGCCATGTTTTTTGCCATGCGTGTCCCTGACTGACTAATCCACCTGTCAGTCACACCCATTTGAACTCGGAGAGATTCATCAGTGACCAGACTCACATCTTCACAAAGTACTGAAGAAGTGTGCATTCTGGATCCCAAGGCAAATGAAACTACACAGCCAACAAAGTTTATTTAGTAGAAGATTTTGCGGTGTGGTTTTATCAACATTACATTTTACTGTTTGTCATGAAAATACCATTTAACCGATCCTAAAAACGGACATTTCCTCCTATCTGCACAGTATAATGTCAGCATGTTATGTCAGTGTTCTTTTTGCTTTTTCTTCATCAAATACAGTTTATTTTCCAAAACAAAGTCCACATTGTCCAGTCTTATTCCATGTTGCTGGTGGATCCGTTCCTGTGACAGCATTATAAATTTCCTCTTGTTTGACAAAGGAAAATGTTAATTAAGTCGAAAGGATTATGCCTATGTAATGAGGCGGCTAGCTGGCTCTTCCTGCTTTTAGTTTTATTAAGCTGAGCCGCAAGACAATTAGTTATTGTCAGCTGGTTTAGCACAAACGCAGAGGGGACACTTTCCTCCATTATAGCACAGGCATGTGTGTTATTCTGTGCACAGGGTGTTAAATGAAATGTCATTTGGTGGGCATGATAGGAAAGCACCATGATTCAAGTTAGCAGGAGGTTTGAGATAACAGTGGTTTATGTTTGTTATATTTTGACCATATTTTAGGGGCCAAGATGGCTCTGGGTACAGCAAAGATTTATAAACACATAAGACATGTCTTGAGAAAGAAGAAACATGGACAATTTTACCAATAGTCCTGTTCTTATTTTATTTTAATATACAACTAGAACCCCCAGATGTAAAGTGTTGATATAGTGGAGTGGTTACCGGTACTACCAAAGTGTACAAGGATTGCGTATTTTGTTCCATTTTATTTTACACATGTTTGAATAATCCTGTATTATGAGTCAGTCTACAGTACTAGCCAGGCTGGCGCCACAGTGCCTCCACTAAATTTCATTTCTCTCCAGCGACTAGGTCAGAAATTGGAATACACTGGACGGTTTGCAAAAAAGTGCGAGTTAGGGCACCAGCCAATCAGTAAAGAGCCATACATTCTGTTTTGGCAACAATTCCCGAGATCGAGGATTTAAAGCTGGAATGTTTGGTAAATTTTATCAAGGGGAAAGACGGCATTGCCCTTCTTCCTACGGGATCGAGCGAACGAATTCTAATGCTGCGAGGTCAGACCACGAAGTGAAACTGCCTGATGAATCAGGCTATCAGTTTACATACCAAAAGCTCAAAATGCTCTGTTCCACTTTGTGATGTCATGAAGCTGTAGGTTTCAAGTTAACAGCTACTTTTTTTTTTTTTTTTCAGAAGAAATAGGCTGATATGATCCACATGATTCTAGCAAAGTATGGAGTTTATGTATGTATGGAGTTTAAAAACACACTGGAGCACTTCCTGTATTACCACGTGTCACCACAAGCATACGGTGGAACAGCGTGTTTTCTTAAATATGCAGGGTTTGTGTGCTAAAGATGTGTGAATGAAACAAAACACAACTCCAGGTCTGTTTGTGATGAGGATTCAACATTATTACCTAGATAAAAAAAAGAGCGTAATATGGGCCCTTTAAAGGTTGTATGGAGGATTTTTTTTTTGTTTCAAATTGTCAATGATAGCATTATAGAGGTGCAGTAGCCTTGTAATTATGATGACCAAAAAAAGAGAATAAAAATTCATCAACTCTGGACGTGGTGGGGCTAAACATTTGCCAATAGATAACGACACTGCCTCGTTATCTGTTAGCTGACAGGCTGTCAATCAATCTCCCTACGTTTCTAGCGTAACTGACTTGCCTGCGCGCCGCCGGTACGTGGTTTACGTACGCCTGTCACGCAGTCCACAGACGCTGTTTACTCCACCAACGCAACAGTTCTTAGCGGCTTTTTTTGACCTATATCTTCCTCGCAGTTAGCACAAAGTTTGTTGCAATGGCAGACAAGAATCCAGGAGCAGTTAGCCGCAAAAGAAAGTCCGTTTTTGAGATCGCTGAAAGAAGAAGACAAGGGGAAAAGCAGCGAAGCCAAACTAAGGTGATTCTTGAAGATTCATTCCAGCGATGGCGCGACTGAAGCAGACGCAGGGTCTAAAGACTGACGCACTGGTCGCCAAATTACTCCTGGACAGGTCACTTCTGCTTATTATGAAAACGTACTTTATTTCCAAGAGCTAGTCAAACGTTTTTCAGGACACGAAAGCGATATCCTATGTCTGAAAACGTAATTTT